TGCTCAGAAGCCGAAATTTTGGCTGCTGCTGGCCCTGAGGGGAGTCCGGCAAGACGAGGTTCGTAACCGCGGACCTCGGGGGGACCACCTGCGTCAAAGCGCTGCAGGGCCATAGCAGTGCCACCGGAGTTTCAGTTCAGGAACTATATCCTCGAGCAGATCACGAGCATTTCACTGAAACGTACGGGCCCAACAACGTGCCGGACTTGATGCTCGCGCACGGGACTTTCGGGCGACACGTTGAGAGTATCCGGAGCGGTGGTTTGTTGCCTGGTGGAGGCACTACGGATCGTCAGACGACGCATTTTGCCCTGACCACGCGAGGCGCTTTCTTGTACCCGTTGAATCTCATGCGGAGGAGTGCGGACGTTGTGCTGGTTGCATCTTTGGAAGCGATCCTTCAGAGCGGTATCACTTTGTACTGCGGAGCAGAAGGAGTTTACCTTACAGATCAAGCAGTGGATCCTGGCCAGCTTAGTGCGTGGAGCGTACTTACGGGAGGGCGCCAAGGAGATCTTCTTTTTGGGAGTGCCGATCGCGGCCTGATTGTGCGGCCGGATAGGCAGGAAGCCATCCAGAGGTTGGGGCCTCTGAACCGTAGCTTCTCGCAAAGCAGCCAGGGTGGGTTGACGGGGCCTGGAGTTAAGCAGTACCTCAGTGCGCTTGCTGCTCACTCTGCCCGGTATCAGGGGAAGGCTCCGGCGGCTAGCACAGCTAGCTCAAAGGGGACTGCTGCTAGAGCAGTCTATGATGAGCCTGCCATTCCCCCGACCGTGGCTGAGTTCCGGACTGAACAGGTCCGTGAGCGGGCGGGAGCCCCTAGAGCTCCGCCTGCGAGATCCGCGAAGGCGGGAGCATCAGAAGCTCCGCCCGCGAAGAAGGCGGGAGCAATTGAGGTGAGGCCAATTGCTCCGCCTGCCAGTACGGCCACGGCAACTGCCTCTGGTCGCGGGACAGATCCGCCCGCGGACTGGAAGGGGCTGATCGACAAGACGGCGCTTTTGGCTGCTGCCGTTGGTCCGGGGTTCGAAGAGCGAACTCTGAGAGAGCACGACCAGAACAAGTACAGATTCCTGTTGGCGGATCACCAATATCATCCTTATTATTTGGAGCAACGGGAACGTGCAGCTAAGGAACGCGCGGAGCGGGAATCATCCAGAGGCTCTGCCGCGGTTCCGGAAGAAGATGATGAAAGTGCTCCGCCGCCGTTGCCGGCACCGGCGGAACCGCCGACCGGATATGTGTCTCTCGACGACGAGGAGTCCGTTGAGGTCGAGGAGTCGGGAGAGGAGGAATTTGGAGGAGATGATGACAGTTTTTATCCCGACGATCGAGGTGGTGGTGGCGGTCAGCCGTTGAGGCTGAAGAGCAGGAGCCGATCAAGGAGTCGGTCCAGGCCGGTGGAACCGGTGAGAGCTGTGGTGAAACCGAAGGCCACTCCGCCATGGAGGAGACCGGGAGGAGTTTTCGGTCCGGGAGAGTCATGGCCGGGTCGAGTGCCGGGTCGATTTCCTTGGTCCCGCAATACGAAGAGAGTGAGTGTCATGCGGCGCTCCAATGTGGACGAAGATGATGACATTCGGCCACATCCTGAGTCGGCCAGCGCGAGCGGCCGAGGACCAGCAGGTGAACATGTTTGGAGCACCGAGAGGCGGCATCGAGAGTCCGCGCGGGCCGAAGCTTTGGAAGAGCTTGCTGCAGGCCGCGGTTGGGACTGCCGCCAATGTGGCGGAAGGAACGTCAAAGCACGGCTGACGTGCTATAAGTGCAGCCGTGCTCGAGAGGGCACATGCGAGCAGGACAGCTCGGATGATGTCGTGACAGAGGATGAGGATGTATTTCGCCAGTTCAGTCGCAAGCCCAAAAAGAGGGGCGGGCGACGGCATCCTGGCAAAGGCGACCGCAAGAAGCGCAGCAGAAAGAAAGTGCGGAGGCCTGGTTTCTCGAGCCGGAAAGGCCGGAACAAGAAGGCCCATGCTGAGCATGGCAACCAATTGAACCTCGTTTATTGGGGAACCATGCTTGCCCTCATCCCTCTTGGTTACAAAGGTGTGGTCCAGATTGACAATGTTGTGGAAGATGTCATGGGGAGTGTTTCGGTCAACACGGTCCTCTTAGTCGACAAAATGGGTTCGCAGGGAGTTGCTCTTGTGGAGACTATGGGGCTGTTCCTGCGGGCTACCTTGATGAGCATGTTCGTTGTCCTCATGACGTGGTGTGGTTGGACAGTATCCCGCAAGTGTAGGAACAAAGCCATGCACCGACTTCACGGCAATATGCTTGGGGAAGGCCAGAGGACCAAGAAATTCATGACAAGGACGGGTCATGTCTTTGTGACAGAGGAGTTGGTCTTGGGACGGAATGTTATGAAGTGTACCTGCAAAGCGTTCATTGACCTGGGTACGGAATGCCAGCACATTATCGTGGCCAGGCAGCGATGGGCCGACCAGCCGCTGACCGGCGGTGTGGCGTCGACGATAGGCGAGGATCGGGCTGGGGGCGCCGGAGAAACCCTCCAGGCGGTCCCCATTCTTGATGAAGTGACCAGTCCGGGATTTTCGCTAAGGTCGCGTTCGGCTCCATCTAGGAGTGAATATGTCGAAGTCGGTTGCCTTCAAGGCCTAGTGAGTAAGGCTAAGGAGCTGGGTACCGGGAGTAGGAATAAGCAACCGAGAGTGGCCAGTGCGGAGCGGGATGACGCTCGCGGGCAGAGTTCAGGTTTGGTCAGGGACGATTTCTCGAGTCCGTTGGCAACTTCGGAGGGAGCTGTGTTGTATTTGCAACAGGTGCTCAACGACATTCGTAAGGAATCGAACCCCCCGGGATCGTTGCGATCTGACCACCTTTCCAGGCTTAACGCGGCTGTGTTCAATCTTTCCGGGCGAGGCGCTGTGGATAGCGCTTTGGCGCTCAAGGTCTTCCAGACCGTGGATAAGATTCACACTGCATACAACGCGGAGAAGTATGACAACTCGGATTCTGCCTTCTTCAGTAACTATTTGGCCTTGCTGGGCACCATGCAGAATCAGGTCTTCTTCAGCCAGAAGCAGAATGAGAAGTTTGTGAGCTGGATTAAGCTAGCCGTCGATGGGAGCGGCAAGCTGGTTCACTTGCTAGACAAGGCGCTGGAGACTGAGAATGAGAAGCTGCGACTGCAACTCTCCAGGTTGGAAAGATCGGGTGAGCCGAGCCGAAGCAGTACTGAGCCCAGGTCCAGGGCCGGATGAAGGGTATAAGGAATTGGCCACTGCCCAGTGGAATAGGATAGGGAGCCCCCGCAATTTGAAGAATGGGGCTGTTCCCACAAGTAAGGATGAGAATGCTCTGGAGTTGCATTCCCCGCCGCGGCTGGAGGCTGCAACTGGGGGCGACTGCAGATCTTGGCATTCTCATGCATGATTTTGTCATTGCAGCCATAGGCATTAGGCTTTGGTAAGTGAGCTATTTTTGCTTGAGGTTGCATGAGTGGACATGTCTTGCGAGTTGACATGTCCACCTTGAGGAAGTTGGAGTGGCGTGCCTATTTTGGCTCAAGCCACATGCGCACGGTGAATGAGTGCGCTGCCTGTGAAAACAACGAGCCGCTTCGCGGGTGTGCCAGAGAGTCGGGACACGGGTGAGACGTGGATTCTGGGTTAGTCCTTGGTTAGGATTGACGCCTCTCACAGTATGTATGTATGTATGTATGTATGCATGTATGTATGTATGTATGTATGTATGTATGTATGTATGTATGTATGTATGTATGTATAATGTATGTATGTATGTATGTATGTATGTATGTATGTATGTATGTATGTATGTATGTGTATGTATGTATGTATGTATGTATGTATGTATGTAATGTATGTATGTATGTATGTATGTATGTATGTATGTATGTATGTATGTATGTATGTATGTATGTATGTATGTATGTATGTATGTATGTATGTATGTATGTATGTATGTATGTATGTATGTATGTATGTATGTATGTATGTATGTATGTATGTATGTATGTATGTATGTATATGTATGTATGTATGTATGTATGTATGTATGTATGTATGTATGTATGTATGTATGGTATGTATGTATGTATGTATGTATGTATGTATGTATGTATGTATGTATGTATGTATGTATGTATGTATGTATGTATGTATGTATGTATGGTATGTATGGTATGTATGGTATGTATGGTATGTATGTATGTATGGTATGTAAGTATGTATGTGATGCTATGTTATGTCATGTCATGTCATGTTATGTATGTATGTATGTATGGTATGTAGGTATGTATGTTATGTTATGTTATGTCATGTCATGTCATGTTATGTATGTATGTAATGTAATGTGATGTAATGGAATGTAATGTAATGTAATGTAATGAAATGTAATGTAATGTATGTATTGCAATGTAAGGTAATGTAATGTAATGTGATGTGATGTGATGTACTGCCATGTAATGTAATGTAATGTAATGTAGTGTATGTATGTATGCATGCATGTATGCATGTAATTCATGTATGCATTGTATCCATTTATGTATGTATGACAAGTACACATAAGCGTAACGATGAGGGCTGTGCTGCTTTCGCCAAGCACGGGGAGCCCCCCAATGATTGGTTTCATGTTGGTGTTCTTTCAATACTGCCTGCGGATACATACACAGTATTCATGGAGTAAAGAGCACAATGAACTCACAGAGAGTGGTTGTAACCTCACCCGTGCTGAGGGAGTTTCTTTCATAGGGATGTCTAGTTTCTGGGTTTGTGACTAAAACTATTTTCCCCGAATTCCATACATGTCTAGTTGCTTGCTTTGGTTGTTGGTTCCTTCTTGGTTCATGCTATTTGGTCCATGTTTGGTCCATGCAACGGAGCCAAAGGACAACCCAATTGAAACGATTCCCCTGTTTCGATATCACTTTTCTTTTTTCTTTGTAATGGCTCTCTGTTTTGGAACATTTTCCGTGTCCGAGCCACAGTGAGAGAAGTCCGGTCCGGAGAGCCGAGGTGCGGTGGATGGCTGCGGGCGCCGGGCGCGAGGCGGTGCTCCGGAGGTGGGCAGCTTCCCTTCACTGCGATGCGGGACTCAAACATCGGGGCATGCAAAATCCAACCAACCAACCAGGTGGTCAGTCGGTCCGTCACTCAACAAGTCTTGTCTTGCCACGTAGGTTCCTGTTGAAAAAATGACATTTCAGAAAGCAGGAGGAACCTGTATCAACCAACAGAAGCAAACAGCAACAAACCGGTCAGCCAGCAGAAAGCAAGCAAACAAGGGAACAAGCAACCAAACAAGCAAACAATTGTTGGCCAGGGTGCTGCAGCACGTCTGGCAGTCGCTGCCTCGGGCCACTGAGTGGTGCAAGGACCGCGTGTACTGCACAGGTGAGGGGCAAACTCGGAGAGGGGCCGAGCGGGGGGCTTGGGGGTTTATCATAGACGGACTTACCCCGTTTGAAGAAACAAAAGTATCTTGAGACTTCCCCAACCACTTTTTGTGGAGAGGTGATTTGAAAGAACCTGGTTCTGGGGGTCAAATGGAAAATCGTACCAAAGCCCAAATCTGAGCCACATGCACAAAGAGCCAGGTTTCCGAGCCACGACAACTAAATCAGCACAGGTGACCAAACAATGGCCCTAAGTATTTGTTGGGATAGGGAGCGTGGCCGCAAGGCTGACAGTGAGTTGATTGGCAGGCACGAGGGCACGAGTGCAGGCAGAAGCCTGGAACCGGCCGTGTTGATTTTGTATTTTGTGAATTTACACCAGCTGTGTTTATTTTGAAGTTTTATTTTGAAATGCCTCATTTCAGGTTTTCATTTTGATGTGTTTTTTTCACAGATGAAGCGAGCAAAGAAAAAACACCTCGGTCCGGGTGTTTTTATTTTTGAAGTCACGCCTGGGGGGTCTGATCTTTTTTTCTTTTGAAATCCAGGCGGCTCCAGTGCTTTTCTTTGGCTCCGCTTTTTGTTGGAATTCACGCCTTGGGGCCCTGGTGTTTTTCCTTTTGAAGTCACGCTTGGGGGCTCCGATGTTTGTCTTTTTGAAGTCACGCCCAGGCGTGATGGAAAACAAGAAAACACAAGGATTTTCAGGCGTGATTTCTAAATAAAGACACCTGGGCCCAACTGGCATGAATGGCGTGATTTCAAAAACAAAACACCAGGACCCTCCCAGGTGTGATTAAAAAACAACACAAAAAAAAGACCGGGATTTTGCCCCCCCCCCCAATGCGTGATTTCAAAAGCCAAAAACACCAGGACCCTCCCAGGCGTGGTAAAAAAGAAAGCGTGATTTCAACAAAAAAAGACATCGGGACCCCCAGCCTGAGTTCAACATATGTGATTCCAAAGCAAGCCACCGGAGCCGCAGAAGCTTCCGTCGGGAGGAGATTCAGGATAGCCAGGCATGCACTCTTACTCATAGATCAGCAATACTGTAGAGGAAGCTGTGCGTGGCTGATCAAAGCTCACGGGAGTAGGTATGCAAGGACCTTTCCATACAAAACCAGTCAATTCCTGGCTTCCCTTTTGCTTTCCTTTCTCAATTCCTGGCTTCCAGTTGGTTTCCCTTTGATACTCAACTCTGGTGTTCTGGTTTGGATTTGGCTGCATTACACCGGCAGGTTGTGTGCTGAGCCAGATCCTGCCCGACCAGCGCCATGAGGCGACAATGTTCCGGTAGACTGGCCGCCTCCATTTTGCAGGATCGCTGGAATTTTCAGGAGACTTCCAGGGAATGGCTTTTCATTAAAATGGTTTTTGAACCCAAACTTGTTGAGAAGTCCAATGGGCCGGGCCGAGAATTGAACCACTCCGTCCGGATTCGATGCGCCCAGGTGGAGGAGAAGGCCTTGGTGGAGTTCCCCTTCTACCCAGAGGAGGGCCTCATGTACGCAGCTCGGCGCACTCGGTGAGAGGGGCCCACAGGGGGAGCCACGAACTTTGCTGCTGACTTGCTGCATGAGTGGTGGAGCGGTGGTGAATGAGCGCGTGAGCCAGATTGATGCCAGAGCCAGTTTGAGATTACTGCAATGCGTACAAGGATAGGCTTGTGCCGTGATTCCCTTCGGAAGACCTCTATCCTATGCTACGACAGAGCCGATGCTTGGATGCTCACAACATGGCACTTAAAACCATGCTTGGTTTCTCTTCGAAGTCGGCTTCATAGTAGGATGTCTTCATTTTGACGAACAACCTGGACTGCCTGGCCTGTTGAGGTCCTCTAGATCTTTACATGGCGGCCGTGAAGATGCGTTGTGGGTTGTGAGGTTTCAGTTGCGGAGGTACCGGAGAAGACACCCACCTCCAAAACAAATGGTTTGCTGTTGGCGTTCCTTTTAATCACCCCCCAAAAAAAACCAACAGCACCCCTACTGCAAATACCAACACATTATGGTTTCCCATGGTTTCAAAGTGTTGCAGGATTTCGTCCATCCACAGTGTGTAGACGTCAACACCTGGCGATGTTCCCAACAAATGGAAGACTGTCAGGTTTCCCCATAGTAAATGGCAAATGGCTGGGAATACGAAAGCTCCGTTTGTTGTACCTCTGGTGTGGGACTACACAAATACAGCGCGCAGGCACGCACGCACGCACGCAAGCGTTCCGGCACCCGCACCGGCCCGCGCACTGGCACCGGCACCGGCACCGGCACCGCACGCAGAGAATCGAATCTCAACCAAACTTGGTCTGGTTGGGGGTAGTGGGGGATGCAGGGAAGGTTTCGGATCCATTTGTTTCGGGGAAGGTCTTTTTTTCGGGGCTTGCCGGTGTCAGCTGGTGCTGGCGGTTTCTGCGTCTCCAGAATTATTGATGAAAGTGTCGATCTGGTTGCGGATCTTTGTTTTTCGACGCTTTCAACACCCGTTCAAGGTTGAAGTTGGAGGGTGTCCTTTTTGTTTTCGTCTCAAAACCACCCCGTAGGGTGGTCCAAATGGTGTTAGACATACCCATTTGCGAGTTGCCATCGCCAGGCAAAGTCTCCGAGCATCAACTCCCCTGTGCCCACGCTGTGATCTGAGCAAGGGCGGTCCACGTGTTTCCTGGTTTGCGCAGAGGGTCCCAAACGTTGTTGCACAACCTTTCACCCTGTAATATTTTGGACAATTGGCCATAAACGATGACTTTTTCAGGGGGCCAAGGATGTGAGTTTCCTTTACTCTTTGGCCGTTTCTCAGGGAGAGCTAGGGCTTTGGGTGATTCCAGGGAAATTGTGCTTACAGCAATGATCAATTTCGAACAATCATTACCCATCTTATTTGGTACACTTATTTTGATGCTGGGTGATCTTCATTCTAATACGCTTTTCTTTGATCCAATATTTGGAGATCCGATATTCTATCAACATTTCCTTTGGACATCCAGAAGTTTTCGTCCTAAGAATTCCTGCATTTGGCATCATTTCCAGAATAATTTCTGGGATTTTACATTTGCCAAGCAATCAATGATCTTTGCCATGTCATGCACTTCTCTTCTTTGGAAGTCTTGTTTGATTGACAACTCAGGGTGTGTGTGTGTGTGTGGGTGCGTGCGTGCGTGCGTGCGTGTATGTTTCTAAGAGGGGCGAGGTTGAGCTGGACTCGGTGGACAAATCGCAAGACACGTTTTGGTGACCAACAACCAGTCGACAGCAATCTAACTTTGAATTTAACAATGCCACCCACATAAAGGAGACCGCTTTTGCTGCCCTTCAGAAACTGGAGGTCATCGAGGCCTGCGAGGGTGTCTGAATTCAGACTGGGTATGTTTGGATTTGTCCGTCAATATTGCCTTGCCCCCAGAGATCGCATCACGATTGTGGGAATTTGAGGTTGTTTCCCATTTCTCACACCAGCAAACTGCTGCAACTTTCCATCATTAGCTAGATCTATAAGCTTCGTTGATGTTTAGCTGACATCTCTTCCATTGATACCAAAGTGGCAGGCAACTTCCAACAGCGCCGGACATCGCAAAAGGCTAAGCACGCTGCGGCAGCTGACAGCCTGCGCCACTCTCTCTAGGGGATTGGCCATGCGCCCGCGAGACATGTACAGAGCAAGTGTTTTTTTGTGACCTTCCAGGTGCTGCTAGGATATTGCTTTCCCCTGATTCCTCATGTTGGATTGAGGTTTGTCAGTACTTTTCCGCTTTTCCGTACCTCAAGCAAATGGAAGCGCTGTGCACCTCGCGCTGGCAATCCTCCCAGGGGCCGGCCGCATGGGAAGCGCCTGGCCTCTGGGAATCAAAGACTCCAACATCGCAAAAAAGCCTCCGCCAGAGGTCGCTCGGTTTCTGCGGAGAGTTGCATGCATAGGCCAGGTGCTGCAGTGCTGGCTGTGAGATATGAGGTGTTGTTGCTTGATGTGATCTGATCCGTCCCTCCTTTATTTGCAGGTCGAGGCGTCGTTTGTCAGATTGTTTTTTGCTCGAGGTCGTTCGATGTGCGGGGCACCAAGCGCCCCGGGCGAATGATGATAGCATCCGGTGCTCTGTGCATTTGCCTGGAGATGCGAAGTCTGCTCTAAGAAGTTGCGCGGCTTCGAGAAGCTGGACACGAGCCATGCCAACTTGAGCGCCGATTGCGTAAGATATGTTGCCCCAGCCAGCTGCTACACATGCAATGTTTCCATTTTTTCTGTTTCCGAAGCTGGGAGGTTTTGCTGGAGAATCTCTGGGATGTGGTGTCCGTCTAGGACAGAATTGAACGTCCTATGCCTAAATTTGCCCCTTGGGTCGTTTGGACCCTGCATAGACGTGGATCTATATACAATATGTCTGGAAAGAAGGCGGGACTTGCATAGCCTAATTGCCCCCTTGAAGCCGAAGCGCACAGATGCTTCCAAAAGGAAAAGGATGGGTTTTCAACAGAGGCCCTGTGCAGAGAGGTTTTTTAGGGTGGGCTTTCAGAAGAGCTTGTCAACCCAGGGCCATAGTCAAGGAGATTTGTTTGATACTGATGCCCTGAGAGGGCCCTTCACATGACCCGCGACTCGGCGCGAGCCGCTCTTGGTATAAGTTCGCAAGCTGGTAAGCCGGCAAGAGTCAAATTCTGGGCGGCAGGCCAAAAGAGGACCACATCAGGAGTCGCGATCCTGGATACTGAGGTTTTTATATATATATATATGTATTCTTGATATATAGCAAGTACGCCCATCAGCCCATTGACAAATAACGATGGGGCGTTTTGTTTTGCCTCGGTAGAACTCGCCGGGCCTCGGTAGGAGTCTGCTGGACAGGGTCCTGGGTGAGAATATTTAAGGATAGACACAGAGCAAACAGAAAGGCTCGGCAAGAAAATTTTGCTTGGCCCGCACGCTCCGACGCGCGATGGTGGGCGAGCGGAAGGTGGTTACCATCACCGGGCCGAAGATGGTGGATACTCGGACAAGGAACCAAACCTCCTCACACCTTGTTTGGTTCTGTGTTGCTTTCTTCGAGGGTACCTATTTGCGGGTTGGTTTAAAGAGAAATCAAAGGAACACCTTCCAGTTGGGGGTCCCCTATTTGACACAGGGCTGCATGAAGGCCCCGAGAGCGTTTCAGGCGGGTCCTGATTCAGAGCTCAACCTCCAGACATCAACTACTGCGAGACTTTTGGGGATCTTTCATTTAGTTTCAAGCGAGTCAGTCCGTCCTGTGATCCGTCCCAGGAGCTGCGAGCGGCTCCTTCGGCTTCTGAGCTTCAGCCAGGCCAGGCGCTGGTGCGGGTCTCCGCGGTGGGCGTCTGCGCCACAGCGCCGTGGCAGTGGGAGGCTTGCAGTCTGGCTTGGGTCCACTTGCAGTCCACCCCGCTATCAGGGGGGCTTTCCGTGATCCTTTCTCGGCTTCTCTCATGGAATCAATTCGAGTTCCAATGTGACAAGAGACGAGGTGAGTTGTGAGTCGCTTCCATTAGGACGTGGAGCTCTATGACGGCACCATGGGCTACTACCACTCTGGCCTGGCGAGCTTCCCACTGGTCCCTGGCCACGAGTGGGCGGGCCTCTTGGCTCTTGTCCTATTGGGGGCTTGAAATGACGCGAATCCAAGCTCCACAAAAATATCATTTCCTTTTACAAGCCCTAAGAGAGAGGGGACACAACCAGTCCGGATTTCCACGCTTATTGAAGCATGGTCCCCACAGGAATCAAATGTCTCAGCTCCTAGCCAGAAGATCCGAGCAGTTGCCCTAAGATTCGTGGGAGGTTGCATTCAGATTCATACTTAGTTCTTTGGCACGATCCGCCTCTTCTGAAACTGCAGGAATCCGCAACAGCCTCGCCATACACCCAACATCCAAACTCAAGACGCGCGAAGCCGCCAGATGAAGAGACCTAACCCTAGGCTTCTGCAGCTTTCTGAGGCTCAGCTTCCACGCGCTGGCTATCGTGAAGTTTAGCCCCCTTTTTGCATGTTGGATATATAAAGGGAGCCAGCTGGAAGACCATTTCGGAACAGACAGGCTCACATCCAGGGACTTCTGTGGCTCTACAGTATTGTTAAGTTTTGTTCTGAAGTCAGGGGGCCATCAGCCGGGTCGGGGCCACAGGCCGCAGGTACTTTGTCACCCGACCTCAATGGACCACATGGGCGTGTCATTTTTTGAGTGTACCTGCTTGCGTTTCAGACAAGCAAAAGACACCAGTGTGGTGTTTTTCTTTTTTGTGGGGGTCCCCAATGTTTGAGACACCATGCAAACTTGGTTTGGCGGCCAGCGGCTCTGAGCGGCCAGGCGAGATCCTGGCCCTGGGCCCCGGCGCACTTGACCCGCGGCTCCGCGTGGGGCAGCGGGTGGTCGGGGAGCACTGCACTGGCGCCTTGGAGCCAAGGGCCACCCAAGGAAAGCAAAGGGAAACAAATCCAAAAATGGAGGGAGGGGGGGGGGGGGATTTTGAGATAAAACAGAGTTTTTCTTGCTTGGCCAGAAGAAGCATCAAGTTTTAGAAATACACATAAGCTTCAACTCAAACTTCAACTCAAACACATACATACACGGGCACGGGCACTCACGCAACCGGTCTGACTGTATCCTCTTTTTTTTTTCTTCTGTGGAACGTGGCGCTGAAGGGCAGCACAGAAGGAAGGATGAACGGGATTTGGGGCTTGCGGGTCGTCAAAGCAATCCATTCTTGGTCGCAGCCAACAGGCAACTGTTCGCTCGCTTCGGCAGGGGCTTGTTGCCAGTCTTCCTGCTGTTTGCGCTTTTTCTTCTCCTAGTCAGGCTGCGAGCCGGCTCCCAGGCCGGGGAGGGGCTTTGTGCAGGATGGTGGGGGGATAGAAATGCCCAGAGAAGTTGAAGCCCAGATTAATAGTATGTAATGCCTACTGAAGCCATCCCATATGATTTCTTGCATGTCTTTGGTTATATTTATGTGGCACCGGCTTTATGTGTTGACTCCTAGGGATGTTGGCAAGCCGCTAGAATATGACCAATGAAAGCCATCCTTTTCACGCACCGGGGATGACATACCTGGCTACCTGTCTCCAAAGCGGATGTGGAGTGCGCTTGTGCGTACTGCGCTTCTCGGAAAGCGATGCTGTGCCAGGATTAACAGAGAACTTCGCTGTGCGTTTCAGTGTAGGCACAAACTCGCAGGAGCACCACACACACACACCACAAACGCCACGAGCAGGAGCACCACAAGCACCACAAGCACCACAAGCACCACAAACATCACAAAACACCACAAACATCACAAACACGCACACATACACACCACAAACACACCACAAGCACAACAACACACACACACACACAACCACACAAACACACAAGCGCACAGTTCTCGGATTGAGCGGAGCTAGGTAACAAGTGAAAGTTTGAAGGGGCATAAATGTCCATTCTTGGATACGGGAGAAGTCGAGGAGACACACACACAATTGGTATTATCATCAGCACAGCCCCAAAACTGGCGGACGATTTCAGTCGGAAGGTGGAGGTCTTCGCGAGAAGAGGCGGTGCAGCTGAAGCCTGATGCTATTACAACTCGTGCATCCGGATTTGTGTCCCGCTGGGAAACTCGGCGCAGGTGCAACGTGTGCCAGCGCCGGGGTGGGCTGCTGCGCTGCCCAAGGCGGAAGGAAAGGGTGACAGTGGGGTGATGTTAGATCTTTGACTAGGATAGAGAACAAAAGACATATTTGAAGCCCCGGTTTTTCGGAGCGGGTAGGTTTGGTTGGCGCAGCTGGATTAGAGGCATTGGGTGGACTCAGCAAAGCCGCAACCCAGGAGACAGGCTTCTTTGGTCGGGACGGAGCTTTCCAGACAGAGCCTTGGCTGGCGATTTCCGGGCGAGAAGTCGTGTCATCCCGGGCAAATGACGAGTGACTGGGCTAACAACGAGCCACCGATCAACCGAAGGTCCTTTTGGACATTTGAGCTTGTCGTAGTTGTCGTCGTTCACCCAGCAACACGGGATGTGCCGCTTTTCCCGGCTCATTTTTGTTCCGAGCCGCCGGAGTTCAGCCTTCAGATCTGGGTTAAGCCGTTAGGCTCCAACTTCAGAGCTTCGAGCTAGGGCGGACTTGGTTTCTCTTTTTCACACCCTCTTTCAGAGGTTCCCTGTTTCCACCAGGCAACCTCTTGAGCCCCCTGCATTCATTTGGGAATGCCAGAAAATTGGACTGCTTTCAGATGGTCGTTTTGTTGTTCGGCTTGCTCTCAGCCTGTGTCCAAACCAGGGAGCTAAATACTTGGTTTGTGTTGAAGGAGTCGATATAAAGCAGCACGACGGTGTTCAAGGGCAAAGCAACACAAAACCAAACCATTTTTTGGGTTCGCCAATGCTGGGAAACATCCAATAGGTCCTGTGTGGAGCAGCGCGAACTACGGGGCATGTCAAGTGAAGCCATTTTATCCTTTTGGGCGGTTATTCTCCTTTGTTGAAGTCACATACCATCTAAAAATCTGGTCGGGGACGCCAATCCATTTCAGGGTACATTTCGGGAGTCAACAGTTTGTGAAAGGAAACCACTGTGCAACAGTGAAGGATGCCAACGCTCTTCATTTGGGTATGTGCCAAAGGGATTTGGACCCCGGATGCGTTCCGGTTTTCCCTTGGTTCCTTTGTCACCGATAGCCCGTCTTGGACCAACCAGGAGCTGGTCTTCCCAGCAGCCCAGCTCCATGCGCTGCCGAAGCAGGTGAGCTGTCCAAAGGCCGAAATCGCATCTACGGGTTGGATTCTACTTGTGCTGCTCTGGAAGTTCTAGTCGGACCTTGATCAAATGGAAGTCGGGCATGTGCGAGCTTATTTAAGTAATGTCTCAGCCAAAGTTGAAAAACTGAGTTGCATAGCTTGTTGGCGCAGTCAGTTGAGTCACTGGGTTTGCATGGAAACAGATGAGGACATTTGTTGGCACTGAGGTGACAGACCTCGAGGCGGTCCTCGCTGAGCCCTTGTGCACGGCCTTGAAGGCAGTGCGCCTCGCGGCTTGGCTCGACTCCTCGACGGCCGAACGACGGCCCGTTTTGAGTTTTCCGTTTAGAGACCCAATTTGTCAGTCCGCGTATTGCGGGAGTGTTGCTTAGAAGCATGAATCAGACTTGTTTTGCTCAAATTTGTTTTGTGAAGCGTGTCCCAGGAGTGCTGCTGAGAAGTGCTAGCAGTGTTGGAGTTTGTCGGCCAAACGCTCAGGAGTGTTGCCCAGAAGTGTCGAAGTACCAGGTATGCTCCAGCGAAGCTGGATGACGAAAGATTCTAGAAGTACAATTTGCTGATGGAAAAAGTACCTGGGCCGTGAAATCCAGACGGGCTACGCGGGGAGCAACTTGCACATAGCAACTTGCGCAAGGCAACTTGCACAGAGCAGCTTGCACAGAGCAACTTGCGACAAGCACTTTGCACAGAGCAACTTGCGCAGAGCAACTAGCAACTTCTGAGCCGGAGCTGCAGGAGTGTACTTCGAGCACTACTTTCGCTTAGAAGTTGTGACTTTCGAGCCAGAGTGTGCTTCGAGTACTAGTTTCGTACTTAAAAGTTACAACTTTCGAGCCGGAGCTGCAAGAGTGTACATCGCGTGCTAGTTTCGTACTTAACAGCCGCGACTTTCGCGCCAGAGCTCCAGGATTGTACTTGGAGTACTACTTTCACACTTAAAGTTGCGACAAACGCACATGCCGCCACGGCGAGAGCGCCTCGACACGCATAATTTCTGCAGCGGGCTCATCAGGCGAAGCAGCCTGCGCGGCCGTGCCTTTGGGCCTGACCGAAGCCGCGGCGAGACCGCGGCGAATCCGCGCGCTAAACAGAGGTAGTGTTTGCGACCTGGCCAGCCTGCAGTATACTGCGCCTGCCAGCCAATTTCTGTCTTCACTATCTGTCTCACTTTCTTTGCATGTCTCTTTTGGCTCCAGTTTTCGTTAACTTCCTTTGATTTTCTAGCTACCAGTGCTGCAGAAGCTCCCTGAGAAGCGTGAGTCAAAACAGGCAAAGCGTTGCTTAGAAGGAGTGTTGTTCGGAAGTATCGCTTGGGAGTGGTGCGCAGCACTGCCTCAAACATCAAAGGTGTCGCCTATCACTTTCGCCTTTTGTGTCAATCAGAGGTGCCAGTCGCCGCGTAGCATGGCAGTGTTGGTCAGAGACACGCCAGTCAGCAATAGTGCTTTGTCTTTCTTAGTATCGCTCTGAAGATCCTTCTTTGGAGTGTGACGCTGAGAACGTGGCGTTCAGAAGTGCCACTGAGTTGCGCAAGCTAACATGTGTCTTAGAAGCATCCCAGAACCAGCGTCCCAAGGCTAGTTTGTTCAGAGGCACGGCAAAAAAGGTTTTGTTCATCGGGTTGATCAATGTGTGTGTTTTCCGCATGTATTGTCGAAACCCAAACAACACATCTAGAATGTCTGGACGAATACATGAACCATCAAGAATAGCGGTTTAGAACGGTTCGCGGATTCTATGAGGTGTGATTTGGTTTCTGCTTGGTGGTTTCAATTTGAAGTTGTCTTGACTGGTAGATATTTTTTTCTTGGCTTCTTAAACAAGCAAGACACATGTTTTCTCTGAAGCTATATTCTTCCCAGGCAGACGTGGACTCAGCTCCGAAGACAAGTGCTGGACCGCGGGTGGCAGTGGTGGGAGATGGCGCCGTAGGCGCAAGGGCTGGGACCAACTGGCAATCCAGCCTGTAGGTAGCTGCCAACGTCCTGACGGCCGTGTGAAAACAAAGAAGGCGCCCAAGTTGCCCGTAGGCGAGCTTTTGCGGGTGGTTCAGGTTACTTGGGTTGTTCCAGCCATCCTACGCTCACTCAGTGGCGCTTGGCTATGTTGGACCTTGCCTCTTTGATAACCAACATTTGCTATATTTTCCCTTGATAGGTGCAAGGTTATCTCCAAGTGGTCTAGTCGGAGGTTTGCAGAGGGCTCAGGGCGGTCAGAGTTACCGTTACTCTTTTTCCCCGCTTTGTTGGGTGGGTTCGCCACTCAGAATGGTCAACTAAAAGGGTCCCCTTTCTCTAGCAGGTCGCCATTCCATTAAAAGGACATATCAACTTGGGAATCTCCGCAAAAAAGGCAATGCCTGCAGGGAATATTGAGTAGGTGGTAAGGAACACCGAACAGAAGCAAATCGCTTGGAGAGGTCGACTGTTTCCTAAATGGGATACTTTGGTTGTATAAAGCAAGCTGAAGCCCGTTGGCGGTTTCCCCTCTTTCGGGACGCGCCCAAAGACACCAGTTTTGTTTTCTGGTTTTGCGGCCTTTTTCCCACCGTTAGCCTAAACATGACCCCCAAAAAAAAAGATATAGAACGGGACCCTCCCAAAAAACACATCATCAGAGTTTCTTAAAATGGTGGACCCCCTGTTCCCTGTTGGGTGGTTTCGAGCAATCCCCATTTAGCCAAGTGCTATGCCGATCGCGCGGGTGTCTTGTCAAGGATAGATCCGACCCCATCCTGGCATCCCAGGTCTCCCTGAAGATTGCGCATAAGAAGGGCCCCTAATTTGAGACACACTCGGATGGCTATGGATTTTCAGGAATGCCCTCCCAAGTGGTTGGACATTCCTATGATGTCCAGCAGAAGGTCCCCGGCCAAAATTGCGGACATCCGTACATTCGTTGAGTCCGCAGGCCTGCTGCTGTTGCAAGCGCTGCGCTGGCGGCACTCGGCGCGGGTGCTGCTGCTGGGGGCGCGGAAGCAGCGGCTGCAGCGTGCCCGGGAGCTGGGGGCGGAGGCATCGAGGGATGGGCCGATGCGGAAAGAGGCGTGAGCAGTTCCGGTACCTTACTGTCCAAGTAACATTGCACCAAACCATGCCATGGTCTGCGGAAAGAGGTATAAATCCAATTTTTGGGCGCCAAATCTCAGTATTGACACGTGCCCCCATCCTTTCCTAAAAGGATGGGTCGTATGTGTCAAGACAGGGTTTAGTAGTCGAGGGGCATGCCTAGCAAATAATTGCTTTCATCCATACCCCCCACCCTACAACTTTTTTCATCTTCCATCTTCTACCCTTATTCGTTTTCATCATTTTTCTACATTCCTTTCTGTCCATCTCATCCGTTTTTTCTCATCAATTTTCCATTTTTTTCGCCATCCTTTCTCCTTCCTCGTCGCTTCATTCATTTCACCAACTACCCTTCAAAATCTCATTTCCTCAATCTCGCCTCATCCATTTCAAAAAAATATATTTTGCAAAATATATTGCAAAACATATGTGTCATCAAAAAACAATTCGAACTGTCTAAAAACGATTTGTCCATTTCTCGGACAAAAATTAGAACAGCAACAACATCACTCTCCTCCTTCGTTTCATCAGTTTCATCCTATATTTCAATAGGCGTGGTGTTCCTTGTAGGATTTTATCTTCAATATATAAAACACTATACTTACATTATAATTATAACATATAAGGGTATACATGTTATAATCATAGTATGGTTTTAATCATCGTCGTCGTGGGGTTCTGCTAATTTGAACTGTGGGCATTCTACAAACTTAGTGCTTCCCGCAAAAAGGGGTTCAACCCAAACCCCAATAGGGTTCAACCCAAACCCGAACAGGGTTCAACCCAAACCCCAACAGGGTTCAACCCAAACCCCAACAGGGTTCAACCCCAACAGGGTTCAACCCCAACAGGGTTCAACCCAAACCCCAACAAGGTTCAACCCCAACAGGGTTCAACCCCAACAGGGTTCAACCCCAACAGGGTTCAACCCAAACCCCAACAGGGTTCAACCCCAACAGGGTTCAACCCCAACAGGGTTCAACCCAAACCCCAAAGGGGTTCAACCCCAACTCCAACCTCAATATCAAGTTTCAATCCAACCCCAAACTCAAAATCCTTAATCCGTCAAACTCATCAAAATGTCCAATATCAAACCACTAGGTATTTTGTATAAATCTTCTTGCTTATGTTTTACATAATTTTCACCCCATTCTTCCTTGTTTCCATTTGGCAAACGTTGTGCAGTTTCAACATGTTTGTTATTCCTGATGTTGCCACAATCCTTATTACATAGTGGTTTTGGTTTCCAGTTTGTAATGTTATTCCATAGCCTAGTCCTCTTTCTATAATTAAATCCATGTTTACAGTAATCTACATCTTTAAAATCAAACTCATCCATAAACTCCTGATTTTTCAATAATCTGGTTTGGGGATTTTTGATTACAAAATATTTTGGATTAATATGTTTGATAATCTCAATAGTTTTTAAGACAATACTATTTGCATATTCGATATTCCTAATTCCCCTAGTTTTTGCTACACTATATTCAGTGCATGGGGGACTACTCCAAATAAAATCAAAATGGTTTCTGTCAAACTGTTTGTAATCCCACTCCAAAATATCAGTGTTGATATCAGCATTTTTCAAGTCTAATGATATTACATTAAATCCAAGCGACTTTGCTATGGTTCCCACGCTTTTTGTTCCGCTAAATAATTCTAATAAATTCATATTATTAGAATTACTTAGATACTAATTATTCAAATAATACATATACTCCATCATCATTTTTTGTAATTTTATGAAACTCTAATGTTTGTTGCTTTGGTTGTTTGATTTTATTACTATGCAACATTTCACAGTATTTCTTCTGTTTTGTTTCATAGCTGCCCTGCGGACGACCCAAGCCACGGCTTTCAAATATCTTTTCGATTTTCTCCTTCTCTTCGTTGCTTTGTTGTTCGCGTTCAACTGGTTTAAGCTTTTCATCAATGGATTTAATCATATCTTCTTTTTTTTTTTTAAACCAATTAATGTTATCTTCTTCATTAAATCATTAATAGTATAATTCTCATTTTCAGACATTACTATATATTTATTTAGATAATTATGTATTTAATTATATATTTATAAAGTGCAATTGTGTTAAACCTACTCTGTACATACTAATTTTTCATCATTGGTTTAACAGTTTCTTGCGTTTCATTTTCATTATTATCGGATGGTCTTTAGTTTTATCAATATTCATGTTCTTATCATTCTTACTTATTTTGAAACTTGTTGGAATACACGAACATTTACACTTTCCTTTCTTTTGTATTTCTAATTCATTTTTAAGTTCTAACATCTTTTTGCACATAGGACAAGCAACCTCAATTACTGCTGTTTCTTTAACAATTTCTCCGCTATCTTCATCTGTTGAAGAAACACTTAAACCTGTCTTATTCTTTTTCTTTCTTCCCTTTTATATTAATATTTACATTTTTATTTTTGATATATTGTATTCCTAACTTAATTATTTCTAATGAATCATAACAAGATTTCTTAATTTTATTGTCAGTTATTATTACCTGTTCTACATTCTCTACTTCATCTATTATATTAATATAATCTGAATAACTCCTATTCATATAAATAATAAGATGAACTAATTATTAAACTAATTATTTGATCTTATTATTTCTTGCATGATAGAATATTCGGAGGGCTCAGCACTGGGGTTTTCACTGCACACGCAAGCGAGACACAAACTAACTAGCTTCAATGCTGATTGATTGAAGCAATGGAAAGCCTGTTCCATTATGTTATTCACCACCACTCATAACATAAAGATGTTCCATTTAATATTGATTACAAGTTAATTTCTAAATATACTTTGCTAAATATCTTTAATATCAACTATGACCGATGTTCCAATAATACAACCAATAAACATAACTGAATATGAATTCAAACAATCTAAACATGAGCGAGCACGTGCCAAAATTACCATTTAGACGTATTATAGTTGCGAGTTCGACGGGAGGCAAAACAGTTTTAGTCCAGAATCTTATTTTAAATGTTTATAGAAATTCATGTGCAAGAATATTTATATTTTCACCCAGCGTCCATATCGACCCTACATTTACAGAAGTTAAAAAATACATCAGGGATGAATTGCACGTGGATGATGAAAAAGAACAAGTTTATTTTGACAATTATAATCCAAGTGATTTAGAAAATGTAATTGAAAGACAGAATAAAATAATTAATTGTATGAAGTCTAAAAAAAAAAAAAAACTACATTCAATATTGATCGTTATAGATGACCACGCAGACGATCCTAAATTTGTTAGATATAGTAAATTATTACACGGACTTTTTACAAGAGGTAGACACGATGCAGTAAGTGTGATTTGTTTAACACAAAAATATAATGTTTTAGCGCCAATCATTCGTTCAAATGCCAGTTCATTATATATTTTTAGGTTGAACAATTCCAGTGAGCTAATGAGTTTTATTGAAGAAAATAGCGCCATTGTTGACAAACAGCAATTATTAGATATGTATCATCAAGCCGTTAATGACGCACCTTATAGTTTCTTCTACGTGAATATGAATGCTAAAGACATTAACAAAATGTTTCATATCAGATTTGAACAGGCGTTTCAAATTACAAATGATGAATAAAGATATTCTAATTTAATATAATCTATTAATATGGTTATAAAACAGTGTAAATGCGGTGGATTTTGTCGTAAAGGTAATTACAATTTTCATACTAATTCTTGGATACATAAACTTTATAAGGTATTGAAAAGGAGGGCAACGGACGAGGAATTATTAAGATTTCAAAATACTTTTGTTGATGAAGAATATGTAATAGATGAAACAAATAGCACTGTTTCAACATCAACACCAAAAAGTGAAAGAAGTTGTATAAGGAGACTTTTTTTTTATTAAATATTATTAATGTGTTTCAATATTATTAATTTGTTTTAATATTATTGATTTGTTTTAGTATTATTAATTTAAAATAATGAATAGTTGCATAATTGAACAGGTAATTTATATATTAATTTGTCAGATTTTTCTTTTTCTAGTCTTTCTATTCGTTCCGCACATTCTTGAATAGATGTTATTATTAAAGTATCTGCTCTTGTTTTTTCATCTACTCTTAAAGTCTTAATGTCTTCCAAACTGTTATTTGCATCATTTTTACTTTGAAAAGCACCCATTATATATAATATTATTTAGATTTTAATTTTTCAACATTATCTTTTTGTTTTTCTTCTACGTCTTCTTCTTCGTCTTCGGTTGGTGCTGGTATTTCTGTTGGACTTTCAGTTGAAGAACTATTAACTGTAATAGGTGGAGAACTATGAACACTAATAGCTTCATTTGATGAATTGCTACTGCTACCTTGTGCATTTCCTGCTGTTATCTGATTAACTAAATCTGCGATATGTATTGTTGTTGCAATTGCGCTATGTGATAAGTTTAATATTATATCTGCTACTGTAGCGCCGTTATGTAGCAATATTTCTATCATTTTTGTCAGTTTGAATTGTTTTTCTTCTTCGTCGCTGTCCTCCTCCTCTGGTGGTTTCTTTGGCGGTGGTTCTGGCGGTTTGTTGTTGTCAAGCATTTTAGTAAAGGCTGACACCATTGCATCGCGTTGGTTTTTCAGTGTTTGTGTTGCTTGTGTCTTGTTGGCTCATTTCTCTTGTATGTGTTGTGCCAAAAGTTTTTAAGCATTATTTTAAACATATTGTCCTGGTTTTCCTTTACGTTAAACGCTTCAAATGTCATATTTAATTGCTGATTTGCATCATTGTATAACTTTTCTTGAGTCTCTCTGGTTGCTGTAGCAATAGTATCTGTGTTGGTTGCAATGTCAATAGATTCTCTCGGTATGCCCTTTTTCATCAACTTCGGCGGTTGTATTGTTGTTGGTGTGTTTGGTTTTGTTAGGTTATGTATTGAAAAACTGTCGTCATCATATTTATCATTGAATTTCTGCTTC